CACGCTACTTTAAAGAAATTTTGTTTACTTCTTTCGAAGTTTAGCAGAACATCTGGTGACTTTATACTACACACTACTTTAAAGTTCCAGTGCAGCTGAAATGTACAATTATGGCATACTACCAGACAATATTAGATCCACTACCTATGTCATCAGTTCTTCCTGCAAAGCAATTGGAATAAAGGCTCAAATTTTTACATTTGTTCAGTATGGCTCCGACTTCCAATTTAAGTTCAAAGCAGTGACTGAAGCTATTCAGGTTTCACTCTGATCTTTGCCACTAGTCAGCTGTATAAATGACTGGACACTTTCTGAGCTTTCACAAGTGCTACTGGTGACTTATCTGAGCAAGCCCAGACAATGTCCGAACTGTGCATGCAATAGACTATTGTGTGAGTTGAAGGAATAAAAAGGATTTTGCCTCAAGCATTTAATATATTTGAACTAGCCAGTTCACATAAGGAAAATCTGAATAGCCATACTGTGATACTAAACAACACATGTGATCAACAGCATTTTGTTCCTAACACTATGTATTGTGTACACACTTTTCTGTGGTGTATGCTTCTTCTTGGTACATGAAGTTGGAACTTAGAAAAAAAAGATATTAGAACATCGGGAAAGACAGAGAAACAGTAAAATGAGATATTTTCTAGACATAATTGATGGAGAGAAAATTCACACACAGCATTGGTAAAAGCCAACAAAATTTGAAACAGCAGATTTCTAAAGTCTGCATGGTCACTTTCCTCGTCCTTTCAGCCACAGATCTTTGCCACTTAGTGAAACTTTACTTTTTACCATGCGAATCTTCTGTAGAATACAATGTAAAAACTGAGCATGTACAACAGGAGCATTTGCATCATTCCTATTCGTTGAATGATTTATTGACAACAAGAAGCCAAAATCATGTTACTTCAAATGGATTTTGTCTCAAGGTAACACCCTGTGTAAAAAGAAGAGAATCTAAACAACCTCTACAAAGTATGCAAATTGAATCTGCATGTTTGCATATTCACTTATTTTGTATCTAACCCAACATTTCATTCATGATGATCTATAGTTCCTGTTTAACTTACTGTTCCCCGAAATTTTAAGCTGACACATGCATATTCATACATCAACATTCACATAACACAAGAGTCTTGACCAGTAACATTCTCAAAGTTAATTGAGCGACATGCTTTCCCCCTTTCAACATTCTCTTTCTTAAATAAACACCTGGGAATTCAGATCCTTATTGTTTCATTTCTCAAGCAACTGGTACAGGGAGAAAACTATACTGTCAGCACTCAGTTCACTGTCTTGGTTGCATTCCAGCCTTAGCAACTTCTATTACCTGCCATCTGATTGGGCCATGACCATTCATCTAATTTTCACATATCCTCTTCTGTTAGTTGGTGGTGTTGTCAAGTTGCTTTCTACCTTATGGCAACCATAACAGGGTTTTCTAGGTATGTGAGATGTTCAAAACATGATTTACTCCTGCCATTCCAAGTGATTTTTTATGGCTGAATGGAGATCTGAACTCAAGAGCTCTTGAGTTCTAGTCCAACACTACCCACAACACAGCACTGGCTCGCTCAAATTTTCTTCCCGCTCTCTCCTTTATGATTTGTCTTGTCTTTCCTCACACTAATGTTTCTTTTTCAGGCACACAACTGAAATTGTAGAATCCTTATATCAGCCAAATATATATAGTATATGATATTAGCTTAAATCTCACTTTGGACACGAGTTGTCACAACAGCCTAGAAAAGTCTTATGGGGCCGTACCCAACAGCTGTTTTCAGTTCAAATTCCAGCTGCCTAGCTTGTCCCTTATCAAGTAACATTTCTAAAAGCAACTTCCTTTCTCTGCAGCACAAAGAGCCCACTAACTCTCCTCAAACCATGGAAGTCTCTGGTTATACATCAAACTAAAATAGCCAGTTCACATGCATGCATGTGACGTTACATAGTTAACAGTACTGTATTGTGAAAAACTAATATAAATGGACTTTGTCAGGAGGTTAGGGGTAAGTTTGTTGCCATGGTGAATACATAACTCAACGTATAGACAATATGACAGGTAATTTAAAAGAGATAAGGCTGGGTGCTCACTCAAAGCCAGCACAAATGCCAAGTGGCAAAAAAACAGCAATTCACTACTGAATTTGCAACATACTTCAGCGTGTACTTAACTACTGCACCTGCACCAAGAGCCCAGGCTGATAAGCTTTTTCACTGAATAAAAAATGGAGAGAAAAGAACAATCCACCATGCTTTGACTGCATCCATCGTTGGTCATACAGGTAAAATGGATACAAACCCAGATCTCTCACTCAACTTTTAACTAGGGATCCTATTGGCTTGCAAAGATCTTCAGTCACTACCCAGTAACTAGCTGCATGTTCTTCGGATGGGAGGTCAACATCCACAAGCACATGACAACTTCGCCCACCTGAAGTGCGAATTGTGCACAATGGAACAAATACCAAAACATTATCCTTCCCTCTTCCTTTCTCTAATTTAGAGAATATCATGTTATTACATAATAAAGATTTGCATTTGATCTTTGCATCATGGATACTCTGTAAGATTTTTCCTCAGAAAGCACTAGCTCTGGCTTTCTGGGCTTTTCCTGTTACAGGATTCTACACCTTCCCACATCTCCCCCACCAAATCAACAAGTAATTGAAGGTTCCATTGCACACCTCAAAGTTTCCATAATCCTTAATCAGGGGTGGGGAAGCTGTGTCCTGTCATATATTCTTGAATGAAACTCCCATACTTCCACAATATTAATCAGACTTGCCAGGACTGTGGGAATTTGAGTTGCAGAGAAACTGAATGGCTTTTTCAGGCCTGCCCTAGGCCATCCTTATATCTGGGATAAAAGATTTGCTTTGAGAGATGCAAGCCAAAAATGGCCTTTGTGTCAAGCACTATTCTCTTATCAATGGCACATAACACTGGCCTGCCTTATAAGGCTGTTAAAATAATGAAAATTTGGTGTCCCAAAAAGTATTCAGAAGCAAAAGCTAGGGCAAATACTGTACCCAGAGTGTTCTCTGATGTGCATTTTACAGTCAGTAGTCTTCAACCAGCACCACGAGCTTTATGTTTCTGAACATAATTCTGGGTACTTCCCTGCCCTGCCTCCTTGGCTGATCACCCCCTCAAACAAGGAGGCAGGACAGGGAAACCCATGCTTCTGCTGGGGACTGGTCAAACAGAAGAAGAGGAGGAGGAGAGGAGCATACTCCAACTGGTGAGTGGGTCATTGGCCAGGGAGGCAGGGGAAGGAAGGTATGTGCCTATCTTTAGTGTGTTTATAGTTAGAAAGGCCTGATGATGTTGACAAGGCACTTGCATGCTGTAAAGCTACTACTTCAGCCTTAGATCCTTGCCCACCATGGCTACCGAAATCTGCCAAGGACACTAGGGTAGAATGGACCTCCCATGTCATCAGTGCCTTCCCTCAGTAAAGCCATGTACCTTCCTGTTGAAAAGAAACTATAATAAGGCCCATTCTTAAGGTAACAGAAATCAGCTACCTGTTTCACACACTTGTCTCAATCAATTTTTCTAAAAGTAGCCACATTGAGAAGCCAGAAAGGTGGCCCCCAGTCTCTGCAACAGGTTACTAGCAGACAAACAACAGGTTTCTGCCCTCCTTATGTTCAGGAAATTGTTGAAATCAGAACTATTCAAAGCTGCTTTCAACAACTGAGTCTCCTGAATGCTCTTAATATTAATATTTTTTAAAATTTTTCCTGTTCTCTCAATTCTTTTTATCACCATATTGTCCTATGTATTGTTCTGTGGAGTCTGTAGAGTTTTTAAACTTAAACTTGCAAACCACCCAGAGTAATACATACATTAACAACGTAGTATCTAAATCAAATCAATCAATAAACATGGCAAGTCATACCATCCCTGTTTGTAGGGGTTCTTGAATGGAATAATGCTCCTCATTATGAGTACCATCCCAACTCATTCAGGAATTTGTAATAAACAACTATTCATTCTCTTTTCTTCTTTTTTAACACCAGTAGTGAGAGACAGCCTGATGTTAATACATTAGGAGAAAGGGCTGTGCAATGAACACAAACCGTACATCCCATAGAAGTGTGAAAGTTAGCCTTTTATAGCGAGAAACACTAGGTCAATAGATGTACTACTGCAAAAACTTTCTCTGCTAAAAGGCTCTTCCAGCATGTAGTGGGGAAGAAATGTGCAGCCAAAATACTGCCACATACTGTACACAAGCACTGTGTATGCCATAGTTCTGCACAGAGTCCAACTCCAAGGTGACAGCAGATATTTACAACAGCACTGACTGGCGATAGCAGGCATTAACACCTGCACCTGCTATTGTAATCATATCACTTATCCTGCAGACATTTGGACTCTGCAGAAAAGCATGACATCATGGCCTTCTGGGCACACTATTTATAATTCTCCACCTTTTCTGTACGTAAGCATCTGTGCATGAGTAGATATACAATTTAAAGGAAAACAGCTCCAAAGAACCTATTGATCTCCAAGATTACCACAGAAATTATTTATTTTCAACTGTAAGGCTCTTCAGAGTACTGCGAAACCATACTTTCACGACATATGGGGGGGGGAACCCTCAATAACCGTACGCGAAACGTAAAGGGATCCTTGGGATGCCTTAAAAAGTACGGACATATCGTGGAATAATCTTTCGAGAGCCAAAGCTCGCTTGGCCACGTGTAGCTTGTTCGCTCCAAAGTTCATGGCAACTGTCCGACAGGCAGAGGGGGGGGAAACCCCAAAACTAATGGGCAAAGAGAGGAGGCGAAGTCTCCTCTCCCGGATCCTTCTGCGGGCAGACCGACCTGCCCAGCCGTGTTCGCTGCCACACAGGCTAAGCGACCCCACCGTCTATAAATGGGGCTTCTAATCTGCCTCGGCAACCTCCGCGCCCGCCAGCGAGGCCATCACGCCCAATGCCCAGCCCACCTTCCCCTTCCCCTCCAGTTACCTACCTGGTTGGCGACGTCGGCGGGGAGTCCCCGAATGAGCACCTTGCGTCGGTTACGGAACTGCCGGACGCTCCTCTCCAAACGGCTCCTCACCTCCGTCGGCTCCAAGGGAAGCAATTCCTCTTCAGGGGCTTGGACCAAGCCTGGCTCCGGGCTGGGGACTGACCCGGCAGCAGCGGCCGCCCCCACCGAGAGGCCAGCAACAGCCGCTCCTGCCGCCATCTTGGGACCAGCTGCCCTCCCCCTCCCCCCCTCAAGCTAAACCGAGGGAGAGGCGGGAAAGGGCGGCGGGGGAGCCACTTCGGCGACTCATTGGTGCCGAAGGGCCCCGCCCACCTCCCGGACGGCCGTTAGTTGCATCGTCCAATGAGACTCTCGTGGGCACGAATTAACTCTTTCTCCGCCGCTGCTTAGACGCCGCTTCAAATCTTAGCAAGCGGGAGGAGGGGAGGCGGTGGTCGAGAAGGCCGACGGTCGGGCTCGGGCGGCAGTCGTGGCGTCGAGTCAGCCCTGTTGGGTCCGTTGGTGGAGGAGTGAACTTTCAAGTAAGCAAGCAAGCGAGCAAGCTGGCGGTTCCACTCTGGCCTCTTTCATGTCCAGCTTATAATTAACATCACTTCCTGAAGAGCCGAGCGGTTAAGGGGCCCGAAGGGATCGCTTACGTACGAGGTTTATTTGGCCTGAAATCCTGTAGGGGCAAAGCCCGCTTCTTGAGCTGGAGGGAGTGCAGTGTTGAAAGAAAAGGCTTCCGCGTACATGGGCTTTTTGTTTGGGTTACAAGCGGGCAACGGAAGGAAAGAGGATGTGGCAAATTCTGCACCCAAGAGAGCGATGCCCAATAAAGCTTGTTCGTTTCAACAGTGCCACAAGATCATTCATTCTAACTAGAATGGGTACCTACAGGTGCCTTAGGAAGACGTTGCAGGCATTGTGTGTACTTGGGCTCTTGTTGAGAGAGAGTGATGGGCTCAGCCCTCTGCCGCCTCCTGCGTTTGAAAGCCTTTTGGACCCTTTAATGCCCCCCCCCCGCATGCGTGACAAGAGACGGGGATATCGCAATCCCATACAATGGCTGCTCTGTCTGTAGTGACTTGAACTGAATGACTTTTCCTCTCCAAGGAGTGCTTACAGGATGGAAGCCATATGCCTCTTTTTCTTTATTTAAACATTGTTCAGCAGGGTTGTTGTTTTAGGATGTTATAAAAATCATTTACCAAGCCCGTGTAACTTTAATTTAACATATGCTTCCTTTATTAGGATGCTTGCTGTTCCTTATTGATTCATCATGCTCATGTTTTCGATTAAAGTCCCCTTCTATCCCATAACACGAATGCTCAAGAGAAACAAAACAGCCAAATCTTCCCATGCTTCAAAATTTAAGTCATTTCCCCCTTTCTTCTCATCCTCAGCTGATGCACTGTCCATAACAACCTTCCCTTCCCATCCTGTTGTTGTTCTCTTATCATTTCTATCATTTTTTAATCCTTGCATGATTTTCTCCTTGTTGTGCTCTCTTCCCAGCCCATTTTTCATTCTGTACTGGAAGGCATGCCTTCCAGCTGTTTGACTCCAGCTTTAATAAGCCCTGGCCAACACAGCCAGTGGAAATAAATAATAGCAGCAGTCCAACATCTGGAAATCCATCTCTGTTTCATCTACAACGTTTGCTATTTAGCAGGATGCTAAGAAACATTACTGCAGCTAAGAATAAGAGATGTTGTACAAGAAAACTGCAGAATTCTTAGTATATTTATGTCAAGGGCACTGATTGCACAGAAAGGCTCAGACAGTTGATCAAGCCTACCTAATCAACCAAATCTTCCAACATTTTAAAGAGTGGCAGTTCTATTATAGCATAAGATTTCACAGACTATAGTCCACCTCACTTGGGCCTTTTGAAATGAAAATCTAGTTCTTTACCACTTATTACATAATAAATTTTCTTGACTTTAATGAGCCTCAAAAATGTTTATGCAGTTTGACATCAAAAGCAGTCACAAGCTCTTGAAATCCATGCTTGGCTGAGCCTCCCAGCTAGCAATTTCCTAGCTCCAGGATATTTGATAAAAACAGTGTACGTATATCCCCGATTCAATAGAGCCATAAAAAGTCAAGTGATGTTTATTTGAAGAAAATTTACAAGATACTACCATATTACATGTAGTCAATGATTCCAGCTGCTGCTAGATGAGGGCAGAGTACATTCACATTACAGCAAAGTTTTTAATACATGATTGCTTCTCACATAGTTTCTATCAATCTTTCTGTCACATACACGCTCACTTTCTGTACACACACAGAGCAGCTTTGGACACAGAACAAGCAAGGGAGGCTGAGCTAAAGCTTGCCCATGCTTCTGTAGAGGAGGAATTCTTGCTTCAAATCTTCAGTGCAGATCCAGATGCAAAAAGGCACAATGCAGTGGAGTTTTCCAGCTTAACTCTGTAGAAATAACTTGCCAGCTGAGACAGGTGGCACTGGTCCACACTCCACAGATTGGTAGTGCAGGCTCATGATGCAATTCTGTACCCGAAAAGAAAATGTACAGGGAAGAGGGAGATAAGACTAGTTTTAAGGCCAGCAACATAACATTACCAACAGTTATGCATGCAGTCCTCCAAAAGAATAAAAGTGATTAATACTATGAAGTAAGCAAACACTCTAGCTTTTGTAAAATACTAACTTGTCCCATAGACTTCACAATTAAAATGCAGCTTTTTTTACTTTGCACTTGGACTGCAATTCTATATCGCACCTCTTCATGCTACATTTAAAATTGAGTCAAAATAAAGAGAGCTCCTTGGTTTGATAGAACTGGTTTTCACAACACCCTGGATTCTGATTCATGTCTGCCAGGAATAGGACAGTACAGAATTAGAACCATTCTTAGTTTTATTGTGGGAGATGGGTACAACTGTTCCATTACTTAGGTCTAAAATTGAAAATTAAAAAAAGCCCTGGCCAAAAAGGCACCCTTTGCTAAGTATTCAAAATAGTCTGGACTAGTCTCTTAACAACTCTAACAAGTAGTTACGAGTAGTTTGACCCTTCAGCCTAAGCAGTTGGAAAGAAGAGTCAAGAAATCTAGCAGAAGCCAGTTTGAGGTGTTCCCTCCCCTCCCCGGTTAATCAGCATTTCTGATGGCTTTACAGTTGCCATCTGTCCGCCTCAATGCAAATAGTACTCATTTATGCACACGTGTTCTCGTGTTCTTTGGTAGTAGGCAATGCACTGGTTAAAGCCCCAGAAAATAAAGACAAATACTGCACCTCCAATTTTAGAAGTTTTAGACCCAGAGCTGTGTATTAACATAGAAACCAACCAAAGAGTTCAAGGGCTTAAAGTGCTTATTTTAAAAATGGAAGCCCAAGGAGGCTTCTGGATACTCTTTATCAGTATCCTCATGTTGTGTCCCTCCAATCAGGTGGCCATTTAGAAACAAGGCAGGGATTGTTTCTGGCAACTCGAAAACTGGAATAATAGGGAAATACTGCAAGATAGGCTGTTACCCCTCTTACAGCTCCAAGCATCTGACTGGCTTCCACAGCAGTGTTTGTGCATAAATAAGTTTTAACTACCTGCATTTGGCATGCTTTTATACTGGCCTCATACATTTCCACCATCCCAGAAAAATACAAACAGAAAAACTCCTGAAACAATTACAGTGGTGCCTCACATAACGGGCGCCCCGTTTAACGCGAATCCGCATAGCAAAGATTTTTTTGTGATCGTTTTTGCGATCGCAGAATGATGTTTTGAATGGGAAAAATTGCTTTGCGATGATCGGTAAGCTGTTTCGCTTACCGATTTTCGCATAACAATGTTTTCCCAACAGCTGATCGGCGGTTCCAAAATGGCTGCCGGGTAAAAAAATTGGCCGCCCGCTGTGTTTTCACGCCCATTCCTCGCTTACTGGGCAGCGAAACTGGCGGCCGTATGGAGGATTTTCACATAACGGTGAGTTTTTTGCCCATAGGAACGCATTAAACGGGTTTTTATGCATTCCTATGGGCTTTTTTTCGCATAGCGACGAATCCGTATAGTGACGATTTTGGCTGCACGGATTATCGTCGCTATGCGGGGCACCACTGTAATTCTTAAAGCATTCTTTATTGATAAAAAGAACCACACAATGCAGATTTGGCAATAGCTGCTATACCCATTCTTTTTGTTTCTCTATGGAGAAATGGCTCGGATAGGCTCAACTCTGCAAAAAGAAGTCAACATCTGTCCACAGATACTAAGAAAACCCAGGCATACAAGCATGTAGGCTAGCAAGGCAGCGATCAGAGCTCAAGGGACCTAGCCTACTGGTTTTGTGACACAGTCCACAGGAAAATAAATGTAACATAAAGCCTATCACAATTCTCCAGTGGGATTTGAGATCCCTCTTATAAAAATGGAGCTGGTTGTACTCAGAGAAGATCTGGTTAGGACAGGGAATGAACCTAAAAACTTGGAATGGAAATAATAGCTCATTTGACTTATGAACCAAAAAGCAAAGTGTGCTGCTTATATTCCGCCCCATAACACTAAAGCAGTCTCTGGACAGTTGACAAGTTAATTATGCAGGCTACACATTGCCTTCCCCACCCCAGCGAGCTGGGTACTCAATTTTACCAATCTCGAAAGGATGGAAGGCTGAGTCAACCTTGAGCCGGCTACCTGGGATTGAACCCCAGGTCGTGAGCAGTTTTGGCTGCAGGACAACAGTTTAAACACTGTGCCATGAGGCCCGTTGAAGATATTTATGTAAGAAGCAGAACAGTGCACAGACATTGTGCTCCCTCTGAGTGTATATTGTCAGCTGATTTTTCTTAGGATGTGGTCTTGCAAGTAGGAATCAGTCATTTTGCTACATAAAGTTTGGTTATTAGGCAACAGCAGGCAAATCAGTAACTAATTTCTTCAGTTTCAATATAGTTTGGAACATATGTGATAATTCATTCCCTTCAGACTCAAAAGACACATATCTAGCAAGTTTGTAAGTGACAATAGCAGAATATGAGAGGGTGCTGGAGAGGTTTTGGTTTGGTGGTTCCAAACCAACAACAGCTTTTGAGAATATTTTGGTACTACAAAAAAGCCAGGTCTACGTAGTACCTAAATGGGTTCTGAGGAAGTTTATGGACTGCTGTGTGCACTGAATTCTTATCAGTCGAACTGTATTTCTGGACAAATTAGAATATTTTTTCGTCCTTTTGGGGAGACATGAAGGGCACCTCTTTAGGAGCACAAGCAAACCAGATGGAAGTAAAAGTTACAGATATTCACCTTTGTAGTATCCAATCAACTGAGGGTGCATCTGGCTTCGTAACAGACATCTAATGGAGAGATGAGGGTGTGCTCCAAAGGAGAAATGCAAAGATGGCTATGGTATCGTGCAGGATAGTAGCTTCCAAGAAAAACGAGAGCCCCATCAGTTTGGAAATACCCCAGAATTAAGTAAATGGGAACAAAAGCCAGTGCATATATCTTTGGGAATCCAAAGTGTTTGTTGTGAAGAAAAGGCCAAAGACAAGTCTCAGAAAAATCACATTTCCTTCAAAATGTACTACAAGTAAAGGGCCAGGTGGCTCCCCTTTGCAGAGCAGATGTAACATGCTACAGCCACAGTCCAAGTCTGGCATTTCCAATGGAAAGCCTGAGCATTGCACTTAAAATGTCCAGGCTTCAGTCCCAATGGCTTTTTAATCCAAGCCACATAACACTGTCTGCACTAGGGCAGAAATAAATACTGAAGAAGTCAACCCGTTCACTTACTTTCCTGTACCTATGAGTTCCATTCTCAGACCAAGTTGCATAGCTTTGCAGGCTATTCAGGCCATGGATGGGCACAGTAACAGAAACTTTCATAAGCCGCTGCTACCTCTTTTCAGCACAGAGACTCTATGTGACTTTTGCCACCAGCGGCATCGCATTTGGTATATGGGGGCTTGACAAGGCAGGAGCACTCTGTGCTAGTTTTGAGCAACAAAATGGCAGATGTCGTAGTCTGAAGGCATGGCAAGACATGGAAGCAGCTTCCGTGGCACTGTGGCTTTCTAGGCACACAGGGACAGCATCAGGGCACAGACGGCAGATTAGAGTGTCATTTTTGGCTGAGGATCTCTGTATCTTATTCAACACATGCTGAAAACTGAGGGTGCCTGGGCCCTGTATTTGTCATGGAAGGCTTTGAGAATGGGCACAAGATTAGTGAAAGTAGGGCGAAATGAAGATTCTGATTCCCAGCAGTTTTTCATCAAGCGATAGATCTGTGGGGAGAAAGCACAGATTTAGAACAGACGAGTATACAGGATAAAATAAAAGAAAGTTAGCACAGAGAGGATGGTCTGAATGCCCATGACACAATTCTGCTGCTGAAAAGCTGAGCCACTCTCATCCTGTCATTCACAGCTACAGGAAGGATGGAGAGCTGCACATCCAAGTTAGTAAAATTGAAATATGTAGGAGGTGAATAAAGGCCAACAGGACATGCCATAGGTTCCCTGACTCTTATCCTAAGGCCCATCATATGGAACAGAACAGCAATTGGAAGCTGCAGTAATTCTCTTATCATAACCTCATCAGAATCGCTCAGAGGTTCAGGACCTCCATAGTGTTAATTATTTCAGGACATAAAACTCCTTATGGCTAGTGATTACCTTGTGCAGTCAAATTACTATCACAGCAAACTAGAGAATATATGATTAATATCCAGGCCCTGGTTCTTATCTAGCTGTCATTTTTAGCACTTTTTGTTCATGCCTATAGAACAGGCTAGAATGCATGACATGAATCATACACATGCTAACATAATATGGCTATTCCAACATTTTAATGCACTGAAAGCCTAAAGAGTTATACTCTCTTCTAGTTTGTTCAGAAATATGAATAAGTCCATGGGTGCTGGGCATTTCCCTCCTTTGCCTTTTCTGTGTGATCGTGCTCTGACTGGCAGTGGCGGAGGCTTCCCTGCCCCGCCTCATCTAAATCGGAACCTGCCAGAGGAGGTGGAAAGCTTGCACTGCTGCAGGTGAGTAGGCGATTGAGCAGAGGAAACAGGGGAAGGAAGCATGCAGTGCCCATGGAACAACTGTACAGGTGCTGGGCCAAACCGTGGTTCATGCCAATCTCTACTCAGAAGGTTAGTAGTAGTAGTAGTAGCAGTTTTATTTATATGCCACATTTCTCTCAACAAGAGACCCAAAGTGGCTCACAACATTAAAATTCACACAATTTAAAAACACAATAAGTTAAATATTAAAAGATAAATTAAACAATATATGATTTAAAATACAATTAAAAGATTAAAACTTGAAAACATAAAAAAGATTAAAATATCAGCTGAAATGGGGTTCAGGGATTCAGTTGTAGTTGTTAAAAGCCTTGCTGAAGAGATGGGTCTTGAGCTTCTTTCAGAAGGATAAAAGGGAAGGGGCCATCCTGATCTCCCGAAGGAGAGCATATCATAGCCTGGGAGCTGCCACAGAGAAGGCCCTATTCCGTGTCCCCATCAGCTGTGTTTGTGCTGGCAATGGGACCGAGAGGAGAATCTCCTCTGCTGATCTTAATCGCCAGGAAGGCGCATATAGGGAGATACAGTCCTTCGGGTAGCCTGGACCCAAGCTGCGTAGGGCTTTATAGGTAATGACCAGCACTTTGAACTGGGCCTGAAAGCAGACTGGTAGCCAGTGCAGTTCTTGAAACAGGTATGTTATAGGCTCCCTGTAGCTGGCCCCAGTCAGTAGTCTGGCTGCAGAGTTTTGCACCAGCTGACATTTCCAAATCGTCTTCAAAGGCAGCCTCACATAGAGTGTGTTACAGTAATCCAAACGAGATGTAACTAAGGCATGTGTCACTGTAGCCAGATCTGACATCTCAAGGAACGGGCGCAGCTGATTCGTTTTTTAATAGGATGCATTAAGATTGCAGTATGATAGTGTTGCAGGTTCCTTGAGAATAAAGAGGTTCTGACAAGAGCAGTCAAGGGCAAAAGCCATTACTTCAGATAAAGTAGCCTCTTGCCTTGCCTATGTGGACTCTGCAACACAGATGGACCTTCCAAGACACCACACAGCTTTTATTTGCTGCTGCAGATTCCAAATGTATGCCTTTCAGGAGCAACCATCACAGGAAAGGTGCAAAGAGCTTTCACACTGAGACAAAATTTTAGGAGAGTTATAGTCCTCTATCTTTGCCCTTGGGAAAAGGAGAAAGAGTAGCCTAATTCTAAGCATTCCAGGATCTTTAGATGCTTGATGGCACTATACAAGCAGGTCTGCTGAACTAGGGTAGAAGAACCGTTTGGCAAGAATCTTACTTTGTTTGCCCTGTTCAACCCATCCTGTGAAGGCACTAGTTACGTGCATCCATCCCTCTTTTACTAGCCTCCTCTGCTGTTAGGGATGGAGAATCCTGCCCCTCTAATCCTGCTTCCCTACCCAGAGAATAAATTGCCGCAAGACACAAGTTAATGTTTCAGCAATGTTTAAATGAAATGTTTATTAATTCTGACTGTAAGTAGAATGTACGGTAGTCCAGGAATTGTGATTCCATTTAAAAAGCATGTTGGTTGGCATTTCAGTCACATTCACTTGCTTTTTAGGAAAGGGTGAAGATTATAGTCAGTCTACAAGGTAGATAAATATAAAATTACATGGAATGAAATGCTGAAAAGTTGAATTAATCCATTCGCCTTTGCAAACATTTCAAGCAGAAGCGCTGGTAGCAATTTTCTTTATAGTTTGTCTTGTAAAACTAAGCAAACAGCTGATGAAATTGAAAACAGAGGTACAGTGTGCCCTGCATAACAAGCAATTCGTTTAATGACGAATCTGCATAGTGATGAGGTTTTGCGATCGCAAAAGCGATTGCATAACAATGTTTTCAATGGGAAAACATTGCTTTGTGATGATCGGTAAGCGTTTCGCTTACCGATTATTGCATAATGATGTTTTTAAAACAGCTAATCGGTGGTTCCAAACTGGCCGCCGGGGGGGAAAATGGGCACCCGCAGTGTTTTCGCGCCCTTTCCTTGCATACCGGGAAGCGAAAATGGCGGCCGCATGGAGGATTTCCACAGAACGGTGAGTTTTTTGACCACAGGAACACATTGAAGGGGTTTCAATTCGTTCCTATGGGCTTTTTTGCCCCGCATAGCGATGAATCCGTATAGCGACAATTTTTTTGGAACGGATTATCGTCGCTATGCGGGGCACCACTATATTGAGGTTACAGGGACACACTAGGAGTACTTTTGTATAGACATCATCTCCTAACCATTTCTATAAGCCCTTTTATTTTCTGTAATTTTAGGAAAATCCATGAAGGTTCAAAACACACTCTTTAAAAGATACCCAAGACCCAATCCATCCTACTTCCACAAAAGCTGCAGCATGAAAGCAACCAAAGGTCTAGATCTCCGAATTAAGAGTTCAGAAATAAACCAGCAAAGAGGCTAGTAAAAATCCTACTCACCTCACAAGGACAGTCCTTTGGGCTAGGCAGCCTCTTCCCTCTGTCCAGCAGCTCTATAAGCCTCAGCACTGTCATCTGACCATGAATTGTTCCAATCATCTCAATGAATTTCTACAGCAAGATGGAGAAATTATTGTAAATGGTTTGGCAGGGAAGCAGGAAGGAACCACATGTTATGTGCTCTTCAAAAGACTTCAAAATGTATAGGACAAGTGCCTTCCTTTTCATAGGCAGCAGCTGACCTAAAGAAAACCTCTAGGTGCACAATTACCAGCACCTGTTCATATTTGTGCTGCAGCACTGGAGTATTCAAGTCAGGAGTGGAGACATCTGAAGATCAGGCAGGCATTTTTTTCCTAATCCTTGAACAACCCTGAGCACATTGTGGGGGTTGTACAGCCCATGCATTCTTTCTGTACCTGTCACAGCACAGTGCCAGTGTTAGCCAACTACCACCAGACAATTAAATAACAACTAAACCAATGCAGCCATCCTCTGGCAGAAAGCCATCTGAAGGGGTCCAAAAACCTAGCAGATACTCAAGAAAACCTTTTAGACACAATGAAGCTTACTGTTGCGACTTATCTTGAACCGGTTGTGTTTATACTCACCGCTGGAGGACTCTGACTAGAATCACAGCGTGTCAACAGTTCATATAAAGTGACCCCAAAAGACCAGACATCAGAGGCATAGTAGAATTTACAGTCCTTTAGGCACTCCACAGCATACCTGCAGCACACAGAAAGACAAGAAAACAAGAACTGGTAAATAAATATTTGAATAGCAAATAAAAAGCAACAAAGCTGCCTGGTGAGCAAAGGCCTTCTAATCCAGCATCCAAACAATATTGAGTAAAAGGCTTCTAAAAAGTCTTACAAGCAGGGTGTGGTTTTGATGGCTTTTTATTTGTCCCCAGCGAGATACACCAGTAGAGTATACCATGCCTTGAACAGAAACAGTCCACAGAGATATCACAGCTAATAAAACATAAAGGTTGTCTTATTGAGCTGGACTAAATCCCACCTAGCCTGGCCTTTAGTCTCCTGAAAACAGCCAATCCAGATGTCATCGAAAACTCACGAACAAGGCAGATGAATCTGAACTACTATGGTATGATATTAAATTTGAGATAAAAATTTTTCCAGGGCCCTCTGTTGGTATTCCTTTAAATAAGCTGCAGATGTAAGTAACTGTTGTCACTCGCTCCAGAAGATCTATTATTTCAGCAAAAGTTGGCAACATTCAGTCAGAAGAAGCAATAACAGAATAGAAGGGCACCTGATTTTGTAACCTACAGTATGTTTCACGCATTAGTGTTGTAGATTGAGATGTTATCTAAGGCAACATTTTGCCTCTTCATCCTGATCCTTCCCAAAAGTAGAATCTATTATCACACAATGCCTCAAATAGTGCATTGTCTACAGGAAAGGGTTACAATGCAGGCATCATATTTTTCAAACATCTGACATTCTGTGATTGCTTGCTCACCAAAAGACAGGGCTATCTCCATCTTCACACACACGGTAATATTCATGTCCTTCGGGGATGGCTTTGGCGAGTCCGAAGTCCCCAATCTTCACAACATTCTCATTCTCCAGGAGAACATTCCTGGCTGCCAAATCCCTATGGACATAGTGTAAGGAGTGGAGATAAGCCATTCCCTGCAAAGAATAAATACAGGGTTTACTGTGTCATGCAAGTCATATATTCCATTGGTGAGAGGAGTGCTCAGAAAGCCAACAGGAACTATTGTCCCTGGATATACCCTTCTAGTTTCTTCTTTTACATCCAAAGCATACTGACATTACCTCACAAATCTGCTGGGCAAAGAGGAGAATGTGGGCCAAGCTGACATTGTGCTTGGGTAGATAATCCCTCAGGCTCCCCAAAGGCACATATTCCATGATAAGCTGCACAATCTTGTCTCCTACAATGGAAAAATTCAAACATTTATGTCTACTACTATACTAGATGTCTTCACTTGCCCTTAACAAAGGCTCTCATTCCAGCTTGTTAAGTAGATCACACAGAAATGACAGAGGCAGCTGCATGATAAAATACAACGGGCAACAAGGGTGAGGAAATACAGCTTTGAGAGGCTTTGCATCCTCAACCACCTGAAACTCCAGGCAAAAATGGCTCCATTATAATCAATCCATCCTGATTAGTTTTACAGGAAATGGTTCTTCTAGTCACCCTCCTGAGGGTGACTCCACATCTTCCCTCCTTAGGTAGGCAAGAATAAAGGAACTTTGTCATCCTAATTCTCCAAATCATTTTGCACACTTCCTAGAGACTTCTTGAACAGTTGTTTCTCAAGTCCTGAATATCAAAGCAGATCATTCGGAAGAAAAAAAGCTATTGAGGGTCTGGGGGAAAGGAGATGTTGTCTCAGCTATGTGACTCCTGGAAATAACTGTGCAAAAGGAGTGCCAGAGAGAATGTGACCCCTTCATAGTTTCCTAGATATCTTACACCCCATCCCCAACATGCCCCAATGTGACATCCAGCCATACCAACCCAACAGGCTTCCTACCTTGTTCACTGCAGCAGCCCTTGTATTTGACAATGTTCTCATGGTAGAGTGTCTTCAAAATCTCAATTTCCTTTTTCCAGCTGGTTAGCAGCTGCTGACTGCAGCCTGACTTCAGTGACTTCACTGCTACCATCTCACCCGTTCCATCATTGGTAGGGTCATAGCAGTATAGGCTCACTTTGCCAAAGTGACCCTAACGGGAGGAAAAAGAAAGAGACTGAGCAGGAATTAGATGTTTCAAAAGACATACATCCCATCATTATCTCTTTTGTGACAAGTGTCTAAACTTGCTCAGTGTCTGTAGTTTTATAAAGGGAAACCTGATCTCAAGAATTGTCACAGGAGAACAATTTCATGTCCCCGAGCCGTACAGGAATTAATCTAAAGAAATTAATCTCAAGACAAGATCACCACTGTCTAGGATCCCAGTCAACTCTGCAGGCATATCAGCGTAAGCCAAATATTGGATTTCCTACTGAGTCTGAGCTGGGAATACTTCCAAGATCTATTCATGGCGAGAACTAGAACAAAAAAAGACTACTGCACAAGCAGATAGAATTTACCAAATTACTGAGTAAATTGCTTTAAGGAATCTGGATACATAAAGAATTTGAATACATAATTTTATTATGATTAGATAAATCATATAAAACAATAATTACAATATTAGCACTGAGTGTACTGTTTTTATATACATTTATTTTGCTAAAATCATTCCTCAAAATTTTTTAGGAACTGTATCTACAGATTTTACAGATAAAATTGACTTTATGATTTCATTTCATAACTCACTTAGCTTATTTTAATACATAGCCCATGCAACCAATGGGCTAATCAAACCAGATGAGCTTAGTTTACCAAATAAATGACACTACAGAGGCTAGACTGAGAGACAGGAAAAACACCTGGAAGGGAATGTTGTGCACCTATTATTTGCAAAGCTGTTTCTGATGTTAAAACAGAAAGAAATGAAATAACATTTCACTTACGTTAAATAATGGTTGTAGATCAGGGTTTTGTGTGATGTCCAAACTGACAAAATTGTGATTTGAAATATGCCAGCAGGCAGGAAAAATCAGGGACAGTGAATCATGGTTTGGCATAAAATATAGTCAAACTATATGCTCACTTGCTGCACTGCCTCTGCAGACTACTGACTCAACAGGTGAGAATAATGAGCTAGACAGAAAATCCAGGCATCTGAGTAGCTCTAACCCATGGTATGACTGCTTGCTGAGAACTTAAAACCATAGTTTGATTCTAAGACCATGGTTTAGTGTGATGTCTGAAATAAGCACCAGTATTGCAAAATGTTGATTTTCCCTTTCATTACAGAGGTATTTAGGCACACATGTACACACACTATGCAGTGACAGGGTGAGAGGGGAACAGGATTTCAGAGTGCCGATGCAAGCCAAAATGCAAATGAGTGGCTGCAAGACAATGTTTTCATAAGATAGCGATTTTCATGGAACAAATTAACATCGTCTTGCAAGGCACCACTGTATATTAGTTTTCCCCTAACATCCCAATTTTAGAAGTACAAAGATGGAGAAAATTGTAGAGATTTTATCCTCAACTTGCAGAAGGAAATGATACCACACAGGAACAGATAAATAATGAAAACCTGTTGTTCCAACTCTTACTTGGCATGGATGGCAGAAAGAAAATGAGTAGTGCTTCACTCTGAAAAAAGGCAATTTACCTCACCCAGATCTCGGATCTTCTTCAAGTAGCGCTTCTGAAAGACAGTTGGGTCAGATACAGGGAATTCAGGGTTCACAGAGGTAATGTCAAGAGGATCTAGGAAAGAAGACAAAGTTAAGAGTTAAGAAACATTCAACAATATGTGTAAGAGCTAGAGAAGAACAGACTCGAACAGCAAACCACAGTACATAACCTCAGGAGGCCTAAAAATAGATGGCAGAAGGAAAAGATAATGGCATTGTACAGTACCATCCAGGCCATGTGTTAATTCTTACTGAGATCTAATATTGGAGCAAGACTGCATTTTGGTAGCCTCACAACTTTTCTATACTCCTTTTAACTTTCTGTGTACTACCTTACATTGCATTTCTTGGTCAGTCAGTGTTGTTCCATATAGTTTTTAATTCTTACTTTTCCTTATCTTGAATTAAAATACTGTATATTCAACCTCTTATTACTTAAATTGTATTAATGTTTTACATGGTGATTTTTTTACAGTTCCACTTTTCATTAGCATCCTAACTGATAGAACTTTGATACACTACCAGCTGAGTGCTGTTCATCTTTCTCATGCCTTATCTAGGTCTGGTTTCGAGTCTACTCCCTGGATAAACTTGTACAACTGGGAGTGGAGAGGCGGGGGAGAAAAAGGGAGCAAGGGCACCATTTCATAGGTTGTGCTTCTATCAGTGCCCTGCAGCTCTCTGAGATTCTTACTATGTGGCTGCAGCTGAGTAAGATCCCGTAAAATGGTTCGGAAAGAAGGTCGTTCTCCAGGAGCATAGTTCATGCACTGGCTGATTAAGGTAGCAAGTTCTTTGAAGGATGGCTCTGGAAGGCGATGTTTTTTCTCATAGAAACGCTCTTTCTGCAGGAAAAAGAAAGAAGTGGGCAAAGGTGTACACTGCCAACTGAAGTCAGGCAAAAGTGGAGAATTTGCAGGCATGGATTTTATTAATTTTCACTCACCTTCTCCAATATATTACCAAGTTCTAAAATAGGACACATAGATCCAACACTCAAGGTCACTGCTAAGTCTCAAAGACTGGCCTTCTGGGACCACAAAAATCTCCCTCTTGCCCATTTCAGTCATCCTAAGTCCTCCTTCCCTCTCCCTCATTCTAGGCCCCAGCCAAAATCCCCATACAGTGGTGCCTCGCTTAGTGATTGCCTCGTTTAACGATGCATTCGCTTAGCGATGAGGTTTTAGGAGCGATCTTGCGCTCCGTTTAGCAATGTTTCCAATGGGGGAATTTCGCATAGCGATGTTCGGGACCTTGCTTCGCTTAGCAATGAAAGTTTAGGTCCCCGTTTCGCTTAGCGATGTTTTTGACAGCTCCGTTTTTGATATTTTTTAAAGGTGTTAAATTGTTTAAAAAGGGTTTAGAGTGCTTGAAATTGTTAGTGCACTTAATAAACCCTTTGTTAACCAAATTTGGCTTCGTTCTGACTCTTTTTGAATTTTTGGTGATTTTTTTTCTCCCCCCATTGAAATGCATTGAAAAGGTTTCAATGCATTCCAATGGGGGAACCGCGTTTCGCTTAGCAATGTTTCCTATGGCGATTTTCGCTTAAGGACGGCAATCCGTTCCCATTGGAACGGATCATCCGGTTTTCAATGCATCTCTATGGGAAAACACGTTTCACTTAGCGATGTTTTCCCATAGCGATGAATTTTTTTGAACCAATTAAAATCGTTAAGCGAGGCACCACTGTACTATGAAAAAATCGTAATGCACTGTTTAAAAAAGGGTCTAAATTAAAATTCCAATTAAAATCAGGATTCACGTTAAGCAATTTTATACAGTGGGGTCTTGACTTAAGAACGGCTCGAGTTAAGAACATTTTGACTTAAGAACCACTCTCACAGGAAAATATTGACTTGACTTACATACTTAGATTTGAGTTAAGAACTGAAAAAAAACCACGTGGGAGGCAGGGAAAGTGCAAAATTTGAACTTTCAGTTAACTGTTGGCCAATGAAAAGGGTGCCTGTCTGCTTCCTCACTCCTCCCAGTGTTTAGAGAGTGGATTGGGAGACAGTCTTCAGACTGCCTGGTACTATACTGCCTGGACTGTATTTTCCCTGCCTTCCCTGAACCTTTCTTGACCTAAGAAAAAAAGAAACAAAATATCCCCCTCTAGTGGTTGAAGGCAGAATAGCAGCTTCCCATTAGTTTCTATGGACGGAAAAGAGCAGATACAGATCAAATGGTTTTCAATGCATTCCTATGGGATCTGAAAACTTTTTGACTTGAGAACCGCCTTCCAATACGGATTAAGTTCTCAAGTCAAGACCCCACTGTACTTGTGACCAATTAATTATTAAGCATTTAAAAGTGCATTACATTGCTATCCTGTACTTACTCACCTGGGAATGTATTCCACTGAGTTCAGTGGGAACTGCTTCTGAACAGACATGTCTCTTCTCACATTATTAGAGTGACAGTACAAGAATAGACCCACGAAATGATTCAGCTTCACCAATCCTTACAATAATATTGTAAGGGTGAGTAGTATAATCAATCCACATACTACCATAGATGAGCTTGAAATAATCAATAGAAAGGACAGGTTGCTTACCTCTAACTATACTTCTTTGAGTGGTCATTCGCTATTGAGTGAACTCACACATATGGGTTCCTGCACAAACTACCTCAGAGCCTAAGGCAACTGTTAAGACATGCTCTCTCCGCTAAGTATATTCCCTCACACTGGCAGGGGGCTTCAGTTCCCCTAGTTTTCCCCTGGTTACGTGCAGGAGTTACGTGGCAGACTGAGGGGAAGTTGGGTGGTTTGCATGAATTTACAGATGACCACTCTAAGAGTTACAGGTAAGCAACCTTTCCTCCTTCTTCATAGTCTCTGTGAAATCCCACATACGGATGACTGGCAAGTTCACTTACCAACTGGTGGGACATCATGCTAGGAGATCACAGCTCTACCAAATGCAGCATCAAGCTTGGTCCTGACATCTGATATGTAATGTCTGATGAACATTGAGGGCTGTCACCAGGTCTCTGCCTTGCAAATGTCTCTCAGTTTAACTCCTCTAAGAAACACTGTAGATGCAGCAACTGCTCTAGTAGAGTGCCCCTTCAAAGGATTGGGCAGTGGACTCTTTGCTAGCTGGTAACGCAAGTTGAGTATGCTATCAATTTAGACAGTCTTTGAGGTGCAATAGGTTCACCCTTCTTTGACCCCTGGTAGCTAACAAAAAGTCTGGAGAACTTCCTGAAGTCCCTTGTTCTGGTCACGTAAAAGACTTATGCCATGGAGACATCCAGAGACCACAACTACTAACCAAATGCAAGAAAAAGTCTCTACCCCCCTTTTTTTAAGAACAAGGAGAGTGCAAGGGATTGAAAGTTAAGAACTATATACAAACATAGCAAACTGAGGAAAAACATGAAGGCTGAGAAAGCTCCTAGGTATTCTCTGAGTGGTGGCAAAAAGGGAACTGAGGGCCTGATGTGGGATGGGGAGCATGTGTAGTGGAGAGGGCATGCCTCAACACTTTCCTTAGGCTCTGGAAGGTTCTGAGGTTATTCATGCCAGTGCAAAAAGAACCCGTATGGGTGAATTCGCAGAGACCATAAAGAAGAACTTGTCTAAGGCCTCCTAGCCACTTCCACCTTGGAGACCTTCCTAGTTCATTGTCCTGGTATATTAAGCCAACTGCCTCCTTCTTGAAGATACATCCCAAAACTTGACTAGGTTACCAGTAACATCAACTGTTTCCTGCCTGTTATAAGCCCTGCAACAAAATATGTAGCAAAAAGTACATCAGCTAAAAATTGGGGGCGGGGGGCGGGGAGAGAGAAGAGTCTGATGTTACCTCAGAGGGAGTGCGTTCTTTTAATGGAACATTTGCATCAAAGCATATCTCCAGTAGGGTGGTGCCAAAGCTCCACTTGTCAGCTGCTGTGCTGAGGTTGCTTACATCTTTGACACACTCTGGAGCAATCCATGGGATCCGATCTACCCGTTCTTGGTAAAGGAGAAAAAGAAATCAAGAATTAGTGGCTGTTTGGCAGAGAACATACAGATGAATATAAAACTGCAAGTGGTACCTGGCATGTAGAATATAGGTTTCACCGGAAAATGAATGAAATGGGAAGTTCAAAACTTAGCTAGGTAAAGATAATCCCCAAATGGAGAACACTACATGTAAATACCTGTCCATGCAGGTACTTGAGCCATAAAGTTCTTTGTGCTCAAAAATATGAGGAACTGCACAAATCAAGTCATACTTCAGTTAGGCCATTGCCTGCACGGGCCAGCCACTAGTGCTTGGAGCTTCTTCATCTGACAGTAGGAGACACACTTGCTCTTTCACCAAGTTCTCATGACAGCTGCCCAAGTAAGACTCTTAGATGAATACACAGGATGGTTGTTGTAAGATCTTAGATTTAACAAAGCTGGGCATGCAATTCCTATAAAAATCACAGTGACGCTTTTCCCACAGAAGACATGGGGTTGAAAGCTGTTCCTCAGGAAACTGCAGAGGAAGGAGCTGTAAAATCAAATAATTAAAACAGAACACATGGAGCATTCATATATAAGTAGCCTTGCTAATTAGAGTGAACTGGGTTTAAAGAAAGTTGTGCAGCTGGTGGCTTTTATGTGGTATATGTTGTCATTCCATTTGAATTATCACTTAAGGGTCTTTTAATTAAAACAACATAGAGGTTTTATACATCAAATGAATGGGCCCAAACAGTTTATCTATTGCTGCTTAACCCTCAAAGTGCTTCCAAATGAAGCAAGCCACAAGTGATCAGCTGCTCGCTCTTTTACATCATCCAGCAAACTCAGGTTCCTTTAAGGATTCTGGAGAGGGGATGCTGAGTCACTCTGTGGAAGTGGGCAAAGTACAGCTCCGTAGATCTTGCTGAACTTCCCGCATTCCCCACTACAGTATTGGTTATACGGGCTTGGGCTGCTGGGTGTTATCATCTGACAACGTCGGGAGGCTGCAATTTCTCTATGTCTGCTGGACTGGTTGTGAATAGCAATAGCTACTTCACAGCCACAACCATTTTCTGCAAAGCAATCAGTACATGAATTCACTTCCCAGGCAGTCCCCTAACCCAGTGGTTCTTTTGTTACTCAGGTGTTTTTTGAACTGCAACTCCCAGAAACCTCAGCCAGCAGAGCTGAAGGTGAAGGCCTCTGGGAGTTGCAGTCCAAAAACATCTGAGTAATAAAGGTTAAGAACCAGTGCCCTAACCAACAGTTCAGTTCAATATTGCAGGCAGGCTCGGCTGGGGAAGGAAGTGCCTGAAGCAGCAAACATAATAGGAACTACAGGTGGGACTCGAAAGAGTTCAGCTCCATTCTTGCATGTATTTTATCATAAAAATTAGATCCTCTTCTCTACTCATGCCCATTTTATATAGAAACAGGGCAGATAAATCCTCATTCATCTCCTGTTAACATCATTTCTGGGGGAAATACTTCTGAACATTGGGGGCCATAGGGGACAGGGCTTCTTCACCACGCTCAGTTTGCGTGCTTCTCAGGGGAACCTGGCCAGTCACTGTTTGAGAAAAATCAGAAATGGCAAGCATTCACCCCACAAGCCAAAAAGAAAACAGAGGAAAAATGTATCTCAGAACAATAGACTAAATCTATTTTATTTTATTGAGCCCAACACATTTATTAATTTTAAGGGCCTTCCTCAGAGGAGTGTAAAAAGTCCAACAAAATTTATATATCAAATTTCCTCAGTCATTAATTTCTGATGTTTTGTTGAACTTCTATAACTCCTCTGAGATAGGCCCCCAAATCAATAGAGGACCAAAATGCATTTAGCCCAACAGAATAAAAAAAACAATTCTGGCATTCTGAGGTTTCTTTGTTCTCTCCTTGTTCATTCGCTGTTAGAAATAAGCATACTTTTGATCCGGTATAACAAAGCAGATGTTCTGTGTGCAGCTGTGACCACTGTTGCCCAGCTTTACAACAGTAACAGGATATGGCATCAGTCCTATGAAAGAACCCAAGGTTTCCTATTTCTCTAAAGATGCTATAGAACAAAGGATGCATCCTGTCAATGCTCAGCTTTGTTTGTGGCATGACTGCACAATAGAGGTACAGGGCAAGATTCTCCATTAAAAACACCTGTGCAATGAAGCCCCCTTGTTCCCACAAACACACACACGTGTCACATTTCAGGAGTAGCGTCCAATGCAGAAAAATATTTCTTCAGGGATTTCCAAGATCTCTTGGGGAATCTTGAAACGGAACAAAATCTATCTACACTTAACAGATTGATATATTGTATTCAAATGAATCTTCTCCCGTTAACTTCAACAAAAAGAAATATATACAGGGAAACAGCCTCCGATATTGACAGGAACAGCTTACCTTCACAAGAAAGCACAGTAAAGCTGACTCCAGGATCACTGAGCTTGATGAAGGGAAGCAATCCATCGTCTAAGCCTTTCCTGGCCAACAGGATGTTCTTGGCACATACATTACCATGCACCAGGTTTTTTCCTTCCTATTTAAAGAAACACATAGAAGCAGGCTGTGAAAATGCCATCTCTTTTGGTCTAACACCTGCCAGAAGGAAAATGTCTATTCAACAGCAGGAAACAGAAAGAGCTTCCCTCTCCCGTTCTGTATGACAAACTCCGTAATTGTTCCATTGTGTTTCTGTTTTCTTCATGGGGATAGTTAAGCACCCAGGAGAAAGTTTACTGGTTCAGAAATTAAAGAACACAATGGGAACTCCTTACCATTCTACACATTCCCTATGACTTTTCCATCTTAGAACCACTAGAAAAATATATAATAAAGAAGATCAAGCCAAGCCCAAACTCCCACTAGAAGCTAAAATCACTGAACTGAGGCTACTGTATTTTGGACACATTGGGAGAAGAGCAATGATGCTCGGAAAAGAGGAAGACCTCACATGAGATGGATTGACCCAGTAAAGGAAGCCACAACCTTTAGATTGCAAGACCTAAGCAGTGCTGTTAATGACAAGACCTTTTGGAGGTCACTAATTAATAGATTAGTGGGACGTGGTGGCGCTGCGGGCTAAACCGCAGAAGCCTGTGCTGCAGGGTCAGAAGACCAGCAGTCGTAAGATCGAATCCACGCAACGGAGTGAGCGCCCGTCGCCTGTCCCAGCTCCCGCCAACCTAGCGGTTCGAAAGCATGCAAATGCGAGTAGATAAATAGGGACCACCTCAGTGGGAAGGTCACAGCATTCCGTGTCTAAGTCGCAGTGGCCATGTGACCACAGAAGATTGTCTTCAGACAAACGCTGGCTCTATGGCTTGGAAACGGGGATGTGCACCGCCCCCTAGAGTCGGGCACGACTGGACAAAAATTGTCAAGGGGAACCTTTACCTTTACCTAATTAATAGATTGCCCTAAGTTGGAAGTGCCTTGACAGTACATAACAACAGTTTACTGTTCATGACTCAGCTCCACTTTTATATAGTACAGTATTAGGGAAAGCAACCCTATTCAATAAGAGGCAACCCTAAGGATAATGGCCTCAGAGAAGTTCAAAAGACACAGAAGTTTAATTCTGCACTTCAAAGCAGGGTCATCATGTCCCATCCTTTGATTTGTATTACTGCATCAAGCAGGGGGTTGGACCTGATGGCCTTATAGGCCCCTTCCAACTTCACTATTCTATGAGTCTTTGTTCCTTCAGGATGAAGAACCATCTTTATTTTTGTGATTCTCATCTATCTGGTTATTGGACTCAGTGGTGCCATGGCATGACTCTACCCCACCCCACCCCCTTGCCGAATTTAAAAGAAATTATTTGAATGGCTTCCCTGACTACTTATCCTTGAGAGATGTAATTCCATGAAACAATGAAGGGCCTCTGGTCAATAGCCACAAACTACCATTCCAAAGAGGGTGTTTGAGGGAAGTTGTGCAATAAAAGTGGAATGAAAAAAAATATATTTAAAAAGGAGAAGATCTAGACCTAAATGACATCCAAATGCTTCTAAGAGCTCTGCTCCAAGCTTGTCCAAGGACACTTACCAAGTAGCTCAAGGCACTGGCTAACTGTGCAGCAACCGTGAATTTCCAGCCCACTGTTATTCGTCCTTTGTTTTTTCTCAAGAAGACATCCAGGGGGCCATGTTCAATATACTCTTCCACCATTATATCTTAGGACAAAGGAGGAGGAGGAAGAGAGGTGAGAATCCTGAAGGCATAAGAGGCATAGCTTCTTTCCTCTACAGGAGCAGAGAAGCAGACTGGCTTCTCTAATAGATCCAAGATGGGGCAAGCAACTTATGTTCCTCTAGATAATATTACCACAATTCCCATCAATCCTAAACAGTATACCAGTGATGAGGGTTTACAGGAACTGAAGTGCAGCAGTGTCTTGAAATCCACAAGTTGCTCATCCCAATCCAAGACAACCATGCTGACTGGGATTGGAAAGGAATCCCCCATCACTGAAATCAGTGGAGACCTGATTAAATATTATGTTAGGGTACCATTTTTACTATTGTGCAAGCTATAAAATGAGACAAATGGCACTGATCATAGAATAAAATATTACAGAATTGTAATGATACGCTATAAAAGCTTGTGGAGCAACTAAAAAGGGAGGACAATTATACTGCAGAGTTATTCAACAGATGTGGCTAATACTCACTCTCTGAACCCCGTACACAAACCCCATGAACAAAGGCCAAATGGATGTGGGAGACCTGGCTCATCAGGCTGGCTGTTTCAAAGAATGCCTGAAGAGAAAAGAGGAAAAATAATCATTCAAGGGCAATTATCCAGAGTGGCACAGCTTCATAAACTTAAATCAAGCTTATCTTTCCAGTGATAATGGAATAGGAATTCTACTGTAAGGCTGTTGCTACCTTCTATATCCATTTTATAAAACCAAAAGCCACAGGCTTGAGTCTACAAGAGCTGAGCAGGGCTTTTGAGGACAGGACATTTTGGAGATTCACAGGGCCACCATAAATCATGGGTGACTTGGTGGCACATTATAAGAACAACAACAACAAAAAAAAACACACCAAATTTCTCATTTACCTTTACCTTTCCTTCCACATTTTAGATGGATAAGCGTTCAAATGATTTTAGATAAGTGAGCTTTACAAATATTTTTAACAGCTGAGTATATATTCTTGTTCATTTTCACTTTTCTAACATAATTAGTGAAGCATCTTGTTCTACTCTGAGTATGGATGCATATATGCATGTACAGTATTTATTCATTTAGGCAAGACAGGGTGGAAAATAATACTTTTGTTTTATGATCAAATAATAAAAGGAAAGCAATGACTTAGCACATTTATGGAAGACATATTTCCCCCCCAAAATTGTCATCTGTGGATTATGGCCAAAAATGAAATATATTGGCATATTCAAAGAACAAGTCAGTGTCTATTTTAACACAAATATAACCCCCCAAAAAGTATCTTCTATGTGTTTTCCCTTTCATGGAGATTGTGGATCCAAGAAAATGTTTTGGGTGAAGCAACCTTAAGGAAAGCCTTCAAAGTAATTCTCTCTCTCTCTCTCTAGACGTTACTGTTGTTACATACTTTTCACTCACCTTTGACTTATGGCAACCCTATGAATGAGCAATCTCCAAAAGCAGAACCCTTACTGATCCCACTTTCTGCTGTTCTACAGGCTTGCTTACCAGAGCAATGTCTCTGTGGCTAGGGTCCAGCATCTTGAGCACCACATGTATTTCACGGCAGTTGTTGTTTTGCTCGGTAGAGAAGTACTCGGTCTCATCATCAGCATTACTTGTTCCACACAAACGCAACACACCATCGTAAATGTTTGTACGTGTCCCTTGTCCCAAATGTGCTTTCTGGAAGACATAAGGCAGGCACCAAGTCAGCTACAGCATTTGTTTCTTTGAAATCATGCCCTCACCACAAGCACACACAGTTTGGTTCCCCTGTATATTTTTAGTTCCACTCAGAAGTAAGAATAGGAGGTTTGTTGCTCTTCTATGAATAAATCTTATTTTTGTGCAATAAAATTGGAAAAAGATAATAGTAATCCTCCTTGCCAGGCACTTATTTTTATCCAATGAATTCTACTTCTAGGTCTTTGAGATGCACAGAACTCAAACTGGGTAACCATGCATAACAGTAGCTTCTAAGCCATATTGTCACATTATACAGTGGTGCCCCGCAAGACAATGTTAATCCGTTCCACTGAAATTGCTGTTTAGCGAAAACATCATCTTGTGAAAAATGTTTCCCCATCAGAATGCATTGAAATCCGTTTAATGCATTCCAATGGGGAAAATAGTCGTCCCATAGGCAAGCCCATAGGGAAGCCATTTTGCGAAATGCCAATGAGCTGTTTAAATCGCTGTCTTGTAAAGCATCGGTCCCGAAAACACCCATTTTGCGAAGACTGCCCATAGGAAGCCATTTTGCGAAGCTGCTGATCAGCTGTTAAAATCGTCATCTTCCGAAGCATTGGTCCCGGGTGGGGGGAACCGTCTTGCGAACCACGAACTGAAACATCATCCAGCGAAAATCATCCATAGAAAACACTGTGTTTTGAAGCGCAATGGCGATCGCAAAACCTCATCGTCATGCAGATTCGTTGTTTTGCGAGGTACCACTGTATCTGAAACTGGCTCCATAAGACGCACATTTCCATAAGACGCACCAATTTTTTAGGAGAAGAAAACAGGAAAATATAATATGTTTTCTTCGCTCCATAAGATGCACAGACTTTCCACCCCCCTGTTCTGTGGGGAAAAGGTGCGTCTTATGGTGCGAAAAATACGGTATATGGGATTCTAAGATCTAGTCTTGCTTATTTTATTTCATTTCATTTTAATGCCATCTTTCTCCCAGTATTGGTACCCACAGAAGTTTAAAATGAAATGTAGTGATCACCCTGTTATGCATATTCAGCAGTGTATTTGCATGAATCAATAGGGAGTTGTTGGGAGATGGAGCCAGTTAGATAGAAGGGGGGCTGCAGCAGAATGTGTGTGAGAAAGAGAGTTTTGAGAGCAGATAGGGAAGAAAGGTTTGAAGGGAAAGGTAGATAGTTTGGGTATTGAGGCAGAGGGAGTGTTTAAAGAGTGAATAGTCAGAGTGTTATCTGTATTAGTTCAGATAAAAGAGGTTAAAGGAAAATACTGAAGCTTTGTGTAACTTTAAGAATGTGCTTAAGAACTATTCCTGAAACAACTTGTAACCAATAAACCTGTTCTTATTTCAAAGTTAAGTACCGAATGGACCTCAGTCTTTCATAGGAAAAATAGCTGTTAAGAGAGGAATTGATGGCAGCATGATAAAGGGTAGGGTAAGCTCTGTTGTTGGAGAAACAAGCAGGGCCATGGGGGAAACGTCACATGGAGTAATGCATAAAATTTAAGTACTATAAAGTTATAAATGTTAAAACAAAATGGAACTTATTATATTATTAAAATAGAATTTAATTTTAAAAAATTAAAATTAAATCTCATGGAAAGAGATTATTACATCATTATAAGGCCAAATATGCCTTTTGAATGCTAATTTCATCTCCTAATAGGTAAAAAATAACTATGCTGACCTGGGTGATCTCATCCTTTCGGATTTGATGGAAGCTCAGTTGGGTCATGTTCAGAATTTGGCGAGTACTGTCCTTCACTTTTTTTGTGATCAACAGGTCAGAAATCTCTGCAGAACACAGATTAGCCCAAAACATCAGTCTAGGAAATCATACTATAAAGATAGCACTAAAGATACTATTTGTAAGAAAATATTTTGTTTAGACACGGAAACTGCATTTGATTAAGCAAGCTGATGAAGTTTAAAAGCTTATTAAATAAACTTTTTAAAAGTGTTCCACAAAAGAATGCAACAGCAGTCTTCACTGAAGACAGTTTCTCCATCTCCATCTTGTTCCAAGACACTTCTTTGGCTGAGGAACCTGCATTTCCATGTAGCACACCACCTGGGACCACCCTTTGGCTAGCTGTTTGTTTCATAGACCTCAGCAGAAGCACACATTTTTAAAGAAATGAAAGGCATGTGTATTTCTTAAGGGTGGGGGGGGGGAAGGGAGATTAGTTATTGATGCAGAAAATGAAATGCTTAAAAATTCTTCTAGCAAAGACACAACACCTTGGAAGAGATGCTAAGACAAAGACACAGTTGTTTTATTTCCATGAATAAAGGCAATTTTCACTGTACTCTCAATTCAGAGGCAAGAAAACATGGTTTCATCTCAATGTAACAGTACTATGGCTTATGCAAACTATAGTTAAGAAACCATGGTTTGATATCCTAGTTTCTTAACTGTAGTCTGTACAACTCACTATTACCCTGTATTGGGGTATGAAGAGAAAGTGCATTTTAAACAAACTTTAGATCTCTTCCACTCACATAGAAAATAATGACAAGTTATGGTCTATCGCTGGCCAAAATAATCTTGTATAATTTTAACAACATACCTCTAACTGTGAAAATTTTGGAAGCAAATTATGCTAAGTTAAGAAATCACCACAGACATCGACTATGCTCCAAGTCATGCAATTCAGTATGCAACAGATTATGTCTATGGTTAATTTTCCTCTAAAACTTAAGACTACTGGCATTATGTCAGAATAATGTGGAAGACAATTTTGGACAGTATGTGGAGAAACTAATGGTTTCGATTTATACCTAATTTACCATAAGGTCAGCAGCCCATACCATGTTTGCCCGAAAATAAGACAGGGTCTTATATTAATTTTTACCCCTTCATGGATTGCTGCCTTGTCGTGGCGAAGGGGCTTGAGTAACTCAGAGAAGCTATGGGCTATGCCGTGCAGGGACACCCAAGACGGACAGGACATACAGTGGGGTCTCGACTTACGAACGGCTCAACATACGAACCGCTCTCATAGGAATATATGGACTCGACTTATGAACTTAGATTCGAGTTACGAACTCTTTTTTTCTTTTTTTAAAGCTAAGTCATCTTAGGTTAAAAGGAAAAAAGGAAAAAAATATCCCCCTCTAGTGGCAGAAGGCGGAATAGCAGCTTCCCATTAGTTTCTATGGACGAAAAGAGCAGATACGGATTAAATGGTTTTCAATGCATTCCTATGGGAAATGCAGATTCGACTTAAGAACTTTTCGACCTGAGAACTGCCTTCCAATACGGATTAAGTTCGTAAGTCGAGACCCCACTGTAGTGGAGAGTTCCGACTAAACGCAAACCACCTGGAGTAGGAAATGGCAATGCCACTCCAGTATCTTTGCCAAGAACGCCCCATGATCAGAAACAAAAGGCTAAAAAATATGGCGCTGGAAGATGGGACCCTCAGGTTGGAAGGCGTCCAACATGCTACTGAGGAAGAGTGGAGGACAAGTACAAGTAGTTCCAGAGCTAATGAAGTGGTTGGGCC